TCATTTCATTTTTAAGTAGCATTTCCTGTTATTAGTGGATTTGACATTAGCCATTACCACCCTTCCCCACCGCCACCACCACCACCACCACCACCACCACCACACATTTGGTGAAGGGGACAATCAATAAGCCTCTTTAAAATAAATACATATTAGGAAAATATTAGAAATTCTAAAAGGGGTTAACATTTGGTAATTTTTTGAAATTATTTTTTTACAAGCCTCAACATGACCAACACAGACCGAACCAAAGATATTTCAGGTAGATATGAAAGGTAGATAATGCACTTTGACCTTTGCACCTAAAGATCGTGTACATATTATACAACAAAAATGAGAGGGGGTAGTTGATAGGTTATTATTTTTTTATTGTTATTTTTGTTATTTCTATATTGTTGTAGTCTAGTGCATTGGGGTTAAGTAAGCTCATATAATACTGATGGTTGTTTATATTTTTTTTTAATTTTTTGCTACATAAAAAAACCTGACCCATTTGAGTATATATTCCTTACCATTAAAATAGTATAATGCTTTGCAATTAATATAAAGATGGAAACACGGATTCTCCTAAAAAACTTACTCTATTTCTCCTACATGTTGTTACACCTTGCTTTAAAGTAGATGATTCTAGTACACCTGATTCTAGAAAGACTAGTTCACCAGGTAGACTATAGCGTACAAAATTATAACGTCATTTGTGGGAGAGTAGCTAGGTGTAAAAAAAAGTTCCCTTTCAAACCTGACGTCCATAGTGCAAGTGAAGTAGAGTTCACTTGTTTCTGTGACCTCGACATATGAAGAGATAGTGTGGTCAGCACTATGCCCAGCCTCCTTTACTTTCCCTAACTTGAGTTAGGTACCCATCAGAGTTGGGTGGACGGTTTACTGACTTGAACCCGGATTCGAACTCGAGACTTACAGGTTAGCAGTCCAGCTATCTACCGCTAGAACACTCCGTTCCGTAGCTAGGTGTGGTGTGGGTTTCAACATATGTTTTAAAAATCTATGAAAAGATAATGTACTTTGATTATGTAGGAAGATGGTCTAAAATAAGTTTTTTTTTTTTGCTATAATATATACACGATCAATCATAAAATGCACACTTACATGTTGCTCTTAAACTTACACGCTTAATATTGTAGGTAGATTTTCGTTTCTCATGAACAATTTAATATATCGTTTTTGACATATTTTAACATAGTTTATTTGATTTCAGCACATTTTAGACTAATGTATATATATATATATATATATATGGTGACAGGACAAATGATCTCAGGACAAATGATCTCAGACAAAATATCTCAGACAAAATATCTCACGGACAAATGATCTCAAGACAAATGATCTCAGGACAAATGATCTCAAGGACAAATGATCTCACGGACAAAAGATACCACGACAAAATATATCAAGACAAATGATACCACGGACAATTGATCTCAGACAAAATATCTCAGACAAAATATCTCACACCTAAATTTTAATAGTATATTGGATGATTTTAATTGATCTGATTTTTTTTTATTGACTGTCTTATGGTTTTGTTTACTATTTTTAATATTGTTTATAGGCCTATATAATAATTGTAAGAAATGTTTGCCGTACAAAATAGTCATATTGCACTAAACATTTTAAGGTTTGTATTAGTAATATAGTATACCAAGATTAAAGAAATAATTTCGAAAGACAGCGTAGGTGTGCTTGACAAACGTGAGACAATCCTACCACGTCAGGTGGACGAAACTAGATCAAAGAGGATGGAATAACAATAAGGACACACCTTCGTATCAAGGTGGCTTTGATGGTAGAGACATGCCTTAAGGGAAAGACATCCACCCTCCATGGACAATACGACTAGCATATAAAGTCCATTGTTATGCGTCGGTCACACCTTAGTGATTAAGTGACTAATGCTTATTTAAACGACAGCGGTCATCGCGGAGCGATGTGCATCAAACAAAGCAGTATTAATGGTGATTGCTTTGCTATGGTCTCTTTCGTTACCTCGCAGAAAGGTATTAGGACATTAGTTTCTGGTGAATTTATGTTTACCATAAGCAGGCAAAGAGATTTGGAAATGTGAAATTAGGACATGTCGAGCAAGAGTTCACACAATAGATGATCACATAGTATTGGAGAGGTGTGATCATAACGATGTACCTACCAGAAAAGAAACTTACACGTTATGTTTGTGTTGATGATGTAATAAAAACAATAGTTTAACGTTACGAACCTTAAGACCCATTCAAATTTTTGAAAGATATTTCGCGTTTTATGAACATTAATGTTGTGTAGCTACCGTTACTTTATTTGTTTTATACATTATCATTTATTATACCTTTCAGGCTAAAAGAGTAAGTTTGTTTTAATATTTATTTTTTCAAATCAAATGCTACTACAATAGCTTAATACACCTTTTGATGTTTTTTTTAGGTTTCACTGATTCATTTTATGCACAATTATTTTACATAAAAAAGTAAACAAAACCATATTAACAGTCAATTTTAAAAAGTTCAACTAAAATCATCGTAAATACTATTAAAATTTCGCTGTGAGATATTTTGTCTGAGATATTTTGTCTGAGATCATTTGTCCATGGTATCATTTGTCCTGATATATTTTGTCCTGGTATCTTTTGTCCGTGAGATCATTTGTCCTTGAGATCATTTGTCCTGAGATCATTTGTCCTGAGATCATTTGTCCGTGAGATATTTTGTCTGAGATATTTTGTCTGAGATCATTTGTCCTGAGATCATTTGTCATGGAACCATATATATATACATATATATATATATATATATATATACATATATTTAAAGTCTATTTTATTTTAAAGATTCTCAAGTAGGCCTGTATTGTTTCATTAAATATCGTACAATATATTTAACCTAAACGAGAGGGGGTTGACATATATATATATATATATATATATATATATATATATATATATATATATATATATATATATATATATATATATAAATTACATATCTTTCTATTTTATCGGGGGCGAGGGGGTGTGAGTGCGCTGGACGTTCTCCATTTAACAGCATAATATGTAGGAGAGTAGACAAAAATACCTCAAATTTCAGCATAGTTTGAGATAAACTTAGAACTAAAATGTATAGATACTATTACAAGAGCAGATAAACTCTGCTTCATCTGCACTATTCAGCGCAAGGTCAGAAAGTGTAACTTTATATTTAAAAACATTTTAATAGTGGTACTTATATAGTTTATATAGCTATAACTTATGGTCATAACTCTAGCCTAGACATTAACTACAAACCTCACGCGATACCTTAACATTAAGTATTACCCTGATATCAACGATTATGTTAAACAAATTACCCGCAGAGAAAAAAAAACGTCTAGAATCTGTACTGCTCCACCATATTGTAGAACACTGCACGATATTGTATTGTTCTCCAATATGGCTGAACATTCAAGACACAAGTTTGTTCTGCTATGCAGTGTGGAAAATATACTCGCTGCTAAATTTAATGTGTGGTTTGTTTAGGTCGTGCCTATGTTGCTACCACCTGCCGTACCAATGGAGACAGCACGTCTGTGATAGAGGACATGGGCAACTACAGGTGTATCTCTACTGCCACTCATGAGTTGGGGCATAGGTAAGTGAAGGGATTCACAGTGGCGTAACTAAAGGGGTGTCCGGGGTCATAGGTAAGTGAAGGGATTCACAGTGGCGTAACTAAAGGGGTGTCCGGGGTCATAGGTAAGTGAAGGGATTTACAGTGGCGTAGCTAAAGGGGGAGTCCGGGTTCATAGGTAAGTGAAGGGATTTGCAGTGGCGTAGAAAAAGGGGGTGTCCGGGTCATAGGTAAGTGAAGGAATTTATAGTGGCGTAGCTAAAGGGGGTGCCCGTCCTGGGCAATATTTTCACCTGCATGGCGCTATCCGCTATGGAGCTAAGTTTCCCCAACCGGTTATGTTGGTATGAGTTAGGGTTACGTATTTAGTTTGTGTTAGTAATTTGATTAGGGATAGAGATCGAACTATAAAGAAGGGTTTGATGATTGCGCATATAAAACTGGCGGGGTTCAGTATGTCCAAAGGTTAAGAAACATTAGTATCTTTGTAACCTGGTGTAGTTAAGTTATATCCAGAAATATAACTAGTTATGAAACTGTTGTTTTTAATGCTAAAAATTTGACAAAAAACGTGAGACAAAAAATGTATAATTATTTTTAAGTCTTAAAAATAGAACTACATTTTGTGAGGTTTTGCAAAACCTTTATTTGCATAATTAAAAATTAACAATTTTATTGTAAAATTACTTCTATTTATTTTTTAATTTTATTTTTTAATTTTTTTGTCTTCTTTTTTAATTTTTTCAATCTTTTTATTGACTGGGAAAACTAAAATTGCTCTTAACATTCCTCCATTTTTGTGTCGTCTGCGTCAACCAGTCTCTCGGCCCAGCATGACGGTGAAGGCAACAACTGCTCGGTCACCGACCGCTACATCATGGCCGGTTCCAGCACCACTGAAACAACAGCAACGATGTTCAACCCTTGGAGATTCTCCAACTGCAGCATCAGCTATTTTACGACATACGTCAACTCACTTTTGACAACTGGGTAAGGAAAATAGAATGTGATGTTTCAATAACTGCAGCATCAGTTATTTTACGACATACGTCAACTCACTTTTAAAAACTGAGGTAGGAAAATAGAATTTGATGTTTCAATAACTGCAGCATCAGTTTTTTTTACGACATACGTCAACTCAATTTTAAAAACTGAGGTAGGAAAATAGAATTTGATGTTTCAATATCTGCAGCATCAGTTATTTTACGACATACGTCAACTCACATTTAAAAACGGAGTAAGGAAAATAGAATTTGATGTTTTAATAACTGCAGCATCAGTTATTTTACGACATACATCAACTCACTTTTGACAACTGGGTAAGGAAAATAGAATTTGATGTTTCATTATCTGCAGCATCAGTTATTTTACGACATACGTCAACTCACTTTTAAAAACTGGGAAAGCCGAAAATAGAATTTGATGTTTCAATAACTTCAGCATCAGCTATTTTACGACATAGGCTACGTCAACTCACTTTTAAAAACTAGGTAAGCCGAAAATAGAATTTGATGTTTCAATAACTGCAGCATCAGTTATTTTACGACATACGTCAACTCACTTTTGAAAACTGGGTAAGGAAAATTGAATTTGATGTTTCAATAACTGCAGCATCAGCTATTTTACGACATAGGCTACGTCAACTCACTTTTAAAAACTAGGTAAGCCGAAAATAGAATTTGATGTTTCAATAACTGCAGCATCAGTTATTTTACGACATACGTCAACTCACTTTTGACAACCGGGTAAGGAAAATAGAATTTGATGTTTCAATATCTGCAGCATCAGTTATTTTACGACATACGTCAACTCACTTTTAAAAACTGGGTAAGGAAAATAGAATTTGATGTTTCAATAACTGCAGCATTAGTAATTTTACGACATACGTCAACTCACTTTTAAAAACTGGGTAAGGAAAATAGAATTTGATGTTTCAATACCTGCAGCATCAGTTATTTTACGACATACGTCAACTCACTTTTGACAACTGGGTAAGGAAAATAGAATTTGATGTTTCAATATCTACAGCATTAGTAATTTTACGACATACGTCAACTCACTTTTAAAAACTGGGTAAGGAAAATAGAATTTGATGTTTCAATACCTGCAGCATCAGTTATTTTACGACATACGTCAACTCACTTTTGACAACTGGGTAAGGAAAATAGAATTTGATGTTTCAATATCTACAGCATCAGTTATTTTACGACATACGTCAACTCACTTTTAAAAACTGGGTAAGGAAAATAGAATTTGGTGTTTCAATATCTGCAACATCATTTATTTTACGACATACGTCAACTCACTTTTAAAAACTGGGTAAGGAAAATAGAATTTGATGTTTTAATAACTGAGGCATCAGTTATTTTACGACATACGTCAACTCACTTTTAAAAACTGAGTAAGGAAAATAGAATTTGATGTTTCAATAACTGCAGCATCAGTTATTTTACGACATAAGTCAGCTCACTTTTGACAACTGGGTAAGCCGAAAATAGAATATGATGTTTCAATAACTGCAGCATCAGTTATTTTACGACATACATCAACTCACTTTTACAAACTGGGTAAGGAAAATAGAATTTGATGTTTCAATATCTGCAGCATCAGTTAACTTACGACATACGTCAGCTCACTTTTAAAAAATGGTTAAGGAAAATAGAATTTGATGTTTCAATAACTGCAGCATCAGCTATTTTACGACATAGGCTACGTCAACTCACTTTTAAAAACTAGGTAAGCCGAAAATAGAATTTGATGTTTCAATAACTGCAGCATCAGTTATTTTACGACATACGTCAACTCACTTTTGAAAACTGGGTAAGGAAAATTGAATTTGATGTTTCAATAACTGCAGCATCAGCTATTTTACGACATAGGCTATGTCAACTCACTTTTAAAAACTAGGTAAGCCGAAAATAGAATTTGATGTTTCAATAACTGCAGCATCAGTTATTTTACGACATACGTCAACTCACTTTTGAAAACTGGGTAAGGAAAATAGAATTTGGTGTTTCAATATCTGCAGCATCAGTTATTTTACGACATACGTCAACTCACTTTTGAAAACTGAGTACGGAAAATAGAATTTGATGTTTTAATATCTGCAGCATCAGTTATTTTACGAAAAAGGTCAATTCACTTTTAAAAACTGGGAAAGCCGAAAATAGAATTTGATGTTTCAATATCTGCAGCATCAGTTATTTTACGACATACGTCAACTCACTTTTAAAAACTGGGAAAGCCGAAAATAGAATTTGATGTTTCAATATCTGCAGCATCAGTTATTTTACGAAAAAGGTCAATTCACTTTTAAAAACTGGGAAAGCCGAAAATAGAATTTGATGTTTCAATATCTGCAGCATCAGTTATTTTACGACATACGTCAACTCACTTTTAAAAACTGGGAAAGCCGAAAATAGAATTTGATGTTTCAATATCTGCAGCATCAGTTATTTTACGACATACGTCAACTCACTTTTAAAAACTGGAAAAGCCGAAAATAGAATTTGATGTTTCAATATCTGCAGCATCAGTTATTTTACGACATACGTCAACTCACTTTTAAAAACTGGAAAAGCCGAAAATAGAATTTGATGTTTCAATATCTGCAGCATCAGTTATTTTACGACATACGTCAACTCACTTTTGAAAACTGGGTAAGGAAAATAGAATTTTATGCTTCAATAACTGCAGCATCAGTTATTTTACGACATACGTCAACTCACTTTTAAAAACTAGGTAAGCCGAAAATAGAATTTGATGTTTCAATATCTGCAGCATCAGTTATTTTATGACATACGTCAACTCACTTTTAAAAACTGAGTAAGTAAAATAGAGTTTGGTGTTTCAATATCTGCAGCATCAGTTATTTTATGACAAACAACTCACTTATAAAAACTGGGTAAGCCGAAAATAGAATTTGATGTTTCAATATCTGCAGCATCAGTTATTTTATGACAAACAACTCACTTATAAAAACTGGGTAAGCCGAAAATAGAATTTGATGTTTCAATATCTGCAGCATCAGTTATTTTATGACAAACAACTCACTTATAAAAACTAGGTAAGCCGAAAATAGAATTTGATGTTTCAATATCTGCAGCATCAGTTATTTTACGACATACATCAACTCACTTTTAAAAATGTAGTAAGGAAAATAGAATTTGGTGTTTCAATATCTGCTTTTCTCGTGTCTATAACTAAATGTTATTAAATATAAATTATGCAACTGTACCACCTATTAAATCTAAATTATAAACACGAGAAACAATGATCAGTGCCATACTTACAAAGCCGTAAATAATAAAATAAATAAAATCCTGCAATACTCGATGATCGTGGGGGCACAACAAATTTGAGGTGGGTCTAAGGCGCCCACCTTTCTCCATTCCTGACCACAACCGGATGCCTCCATCTAGGTGGATCGCCTTAGTCACGAACACGTGGTCGATGAAGTTCATGTAGAAACTCTTTGGACCTGGCCGGTGACCTTTACTAGAAGGTCATACGCTCAGTGTTAGCATCAGTTGTTTGATTTGGAGTTTTCTCTCCTAGATGAGTTGCTGTCCCCAGCTACAGCAGTCTGAGGTTTCGAACTCGGGACATTTCGGTTTAGCAGCCATGAACTTTCCCGACCCGAACATGCCAGTCCTAAAAAAAGTTTTGCTACTGATGAAGATATAATTAGATATTTTGTACCTCACGTATTTATTCAAGTCGAATTTCATACATTTTTTTTTTTAAATACCAATGTGCGTATCTTGGTTTTCCCCAATGTCTATTTTTAACCTTGTAAATAAATAAAAAAAAACACTCCCGTTGCTATTTCAGGAGTGGAGTGGAGTGTTTAAGCACACAGTTAGCCAAAGACACAACTATCCCGGATGTAAAGGACTATTTACCTGGGCTGGGGTACTCACCCTCCCAGCAGTGTGTGCTAACCTACGGGCCAGATTCGTACGACTGTAGGGTAAGATAGCTTTCAAAGGGGGACAACACAAAAACGCAAAGAAATAATATATGATCGGAAACTACGTATCAAAGTGCGCTGTTTTTTTTTTTTTTTTTTGTTAAATAATTTAAAGGCGGTATCAAAGAATAGAAAATGTGTACATTCTAGAACACTAAAATAATTTTCCACAAGCCTTCCCAAATGAAAGTGTTAGTATATTGAATTCGTATTAGAACATTTTTTATCTAAGCGAAGGTTTTAAGGTTTCGGTTGGTTATTTTTTGATGCGCATTTTTCTGGGAATCCAACGGTAATACCCCCAAGCTCAACATTAACCCCACCCTCTGATTTCACACTGTAAATAACCAAGAGAGTAACCCCATTCTTCCCATGAATAAAAAAAATTGTCGAATAAAGTACAAAGATCATTGGTTAACTATATGTCGTGATCTCTCTCTCCTACTTCGCCGGTTAAGCAAAAAAAATTACTAAGTATTGCTTTTGGCGTGGGACGCCATGGGCTTAAGCGGTAGAGCGCTAGGCTGCTGACCCGATAGTCTTGAGTTTGAATTCGGGTCAGTCCGTAGAACGTCCCTGAGTCCACCAGATCGGATGGGTACCTAAATCATGTTAGAGAAAGTAAAGGCGACTATACAAAGTGATGACCACAACTTTTCTTCATGTGTCGAGGTAAAAAACATATGAACTCTACTTCATCTGCCCAATGGATTGCTAGGTCTAAAGAGGATTCTTTACTATTGCTTTATATTGCCCGTATATAGAACATACCCCCACCACCTTAATCCAAGATCAATCACCCTTCTATAAATAACTCTGTTTTATATTAACCCAAATATTACCTTATGTCATCACATCCACCATACCCCCTTCATTACCACAAGCCTACTCTTATCAACATTTTTACATTGTATTTCTCTGTTCAATCACCAAGTAATTGATGAATAGAAAGTCAGACCAATTTTAACACACGATATGCTTAAAATTTAAAAATAAATAAAAATAAAACCTGTTGTTTTTTTATCTTCATCTAGTTGTCTAACCCAGTTGATTACTGCAGGAAGTTGTACTGTTACAGCCCAGTCCCCAACCTGTGTTACCTGACGCAGGCAATGGACGGTACGACCTGCGGCAGTGGCAAGGTACATAACTCTTGTTTCGTTTTTAAAATACGTTATAGGGCTGGTAAGTAGGTCACCAACCGGTTCTATATCTCATGCAGGTTTTATTGAGCCGTAGAACTGGTTGGTGACCTACTTACCAGCCCCATATCCAGCAGTGCAAAGGGAGGTAATTATGTCGAATGTTTCCAGTGCTTATTACTCACCGATCATCCCCGTATCAGGAAATCATGTCAAACGTATATTTGAACAGAAAGCGTCCCAAAGAATGTTCTATCCCTACCCACACAGCCCCACCCAACACCAATTACCCAAATAATTTTTTTTTTATAAATGGGGGTGGGGGAGAAAGTGGGAGGGAAGGAGGGTGGAAGGGTGGGAGGGGAAAAGCAGCAGAACGGAAGAATCGAGTTCACGGGGTCGAATTTCTACGACTTCCCTGAGTCCACCCAGCTCTAAAAGGTACCCAACTTTTATCGTAAAAGTTGTGGGATATAGTGAAAACAACACAATTCTTATAACCTAGATATTTAAAAATCGGAAAAATCAACTTCATCTGCCCAGTGAACACTTTAGTCTGAAATTGTACTTTCTTTGTTTAATTAATTAACAAAAGTATACCTTGGCTTATAAATGATAGAATAAGGAATTATGAATTAAATTTAATCAGACTTAGAATATTATGAGACAGCGTTAACTCCATTTGACCCGAATCCGAACTCGGGCACATAAGGCTTGTTATCTAAGGATAGCAGTTTTTTTTTAGAAATAAACTTCAAAATCAAACAACTGCTGCCTTGCAGATTTTTCTTGTTTGGACTAACGTTTTGATAGCAAACGGGAAAGAAAAAAAAGCAGGCTGAAGTCCATTTATGTAGAATAAACTATTGACGAGATAGATTTGGAGAAAATTCCCTCCATTATTTTCATTAAAGAACTAGGAAGTAAATGAATAGAATAGCAATGTATATAACATTCATCAATGGGTGATATTTTTTTATTTAATTTCAATTGATTTATTTATCTGTTTTCTATTGTGATTTGGAGTGATGATTTTAGAAAAGTAAGGAAAGATAACTCACAAGTACAAACATTTGTGTGCTTTTACATACACAGTTATGCCGACTTGGAGAATGTGTTGCTGATGACGCCGCCCCCGTTGTTGATGGTAAGTCAATCTATTGTTTGCATCTTTCATTTTTATTCCAACGTTGGTAAATGATGTTATGTATGGCTCCTTTTTGCATCGGAAGACAAAGGGGTACACCCGGAGAAGTGAAATCATTAGGGCATTACCACGGCATTAGATACCCGGAGAAGTGAAATCATTAGGGCATTACCACGGCATTAGATACCCGGAGAAGTGAAATCATTAGGGCATTACCACGGCATTAGATACAGTGATCCTGGGTTGCCATGCTTAGTGATATCTGTCTTGACCTATGCCGGTATAGTCCGAATCAATGCTAAGAGGTCTTGTTTAAAAAAAAAATGTGGATCCCCCTCCCCATCAACACACAACGGCATAAAAAGCTAGACCCCCTCCCCTAAATCCCTAAGACGATGTCACAATCAACCTACATCCCCCCACCCCCTCTTAAAAACAGTTTTTGCTTTTTCAAAAGACCAATTTACTTTTAAAAATATTTTCCACCCTGATTCAACATTGAAACAAACACAATTATTGTAAATTACACGCATTAAAGCCGCGCTTACAAAACTGTGAATCTCATTAATGTTAGGGAGGTACCAAAGCTTTAACATTCAAAATATGAAGATATATGTTATACATTATGTATATAACTGTAGTTTTCAATAATGGGTGACAGGACAAATGACCTCAGGACAAATTATCTCAAGGAAAATAATCTCACGAACAACATATATCAGGACAAATTTTACCATGGACAAAATATCTCAGACAAAATATCACACAGTAAAATAACTATAATAAGTAATAATAACTATTGTATTTAGGATTACTTTGGTCTATTTGTCTGTGAGATATTTTGTCTGGGATCATTTGTCCTGAGATCATTTGTCCTGAGATCATATGTCATGGAACCCAATAAAGATATATTAATATACTACATCATTGATTATTAAGTTAAGGCACGTTGCAATATTGAATACTGGTATTGAGATGCAATGAATTGTGCTAGTTACTTCCCATTTCGTTGTATAAAGATTTCAAGGGATATAACTTAAGGCATTGTACCCAACAGCTGTAATAAATACATTGAAAATGTATTTAACAGAATATGAATAAAATCGTAATCTATTTTAAACATGAATATTTACGGTTTTGTGATAATTTTGACAAATTTTATTTTTCTTTACGACTTTTAAAAATATTTTGACACTTTTGTAAAAATCTACCTATAAGTTTTAACAAATACTTATTTATAGACTTGAGTTTGTTCACTATCAACGGTGTTGTTGTTGATATTACAATAGTTGTTGCAGTGTAATTTATTAAACTTAGCTAATAAAATATCGTTTTAATAATTAAATGAATAACAGAGTGTGTATGAGAAAGAGCTCAAAGAAGTAGAGGTGCCCAAGTACTTAGACATATTTTAAAAACTTTTGAAAGAAACAAGAACAGGATATTTCTTTGGCACAACGTTAACACTTGCAGACTTCTGCATCTATGACCTCATCGCCATGATGATAGGCAGAGGAGTCCTCAGCACTTCCAAGCATCCATTAGTGGATGGGTTAGTTAAGAAAATTGAAAGTAATCCTAATGTGAAAACTTATCTGGCAAATAGAAAGAAGACTGATTTTTAATACAGAATAGAAACCTCCAGATTTTAAAATTACCTATCCATTATATAAGATTTAAGTCTTTTTAACACGCAAAAAACAGACTGTATCTTCACATTTTGCTACATTATTATTAAAACAATCTCATGTAGTTGACAGAAATAATCTTTTTTAAGATAAAAAAATACAATTTTAAAATAGAAAACTGTATTAAATTTAACATAGTCTAATCTAAAAATGCTAATGATATTTAAAATAAAAATCTTCAGAGCTGTAAAATTTGAAGATAATGCATTTGATAAACTTTCCAATTATTAATTATATATTGCAGCCTATTTATTTTATTTAATGAATAAGTGATAATTGCAATCCATATTTGATGTAACTTTAAATTAATGTAAAATGTAAATAAATATGTCGTTCAAGAAAAAAAAAGTAATTTATTATACGAAATGTCCAACCTCAAACTTCCCCAAATTCTATTTGCTCTCTAACCATGACCCGCACCCGAACTTACATTTGTCTCCCCTTTTATTATTATTTTCTTTAACACATTTCCTACTTGATTTCCCAACTGATTTTCACGCTGTATGTATTATAAAATAATTTACTTTAATAGGTTTCGCCTTTATATGTAAAACTCGATTTTAAATATGTTTAACAGGTTAATGGCAGGCTATGGCATAGGGCCTACACACGAATATGTTGATCCATTTTGTGTTATTGAATATAAAAGTATTTAATAATAAATAAATAAAAATGTGATCTCAGTGGTTACATTAAAAAAAAAGCAGACAAAAAAAAAACGGCTTTTGCCCATCTGATATTCATCATCAGTCTTTAGTTCATAACTGTGTTAATTGTGATAATTTCCTCTAACATAAGTAAGTATAACGTCAATATGGTGCGCGGACCTTTGACCACAGGTACTTTGACCATAGGGGTTTTGACCATAGGGGGTTTGACCACAGCGGGGCTTTGACCACAACGGAGCTTTGACCATAGGAGCTTTCACCATAGGGGGTTTGACCACAGGTGTTTTCTCAGCAGAGGGTCATTGATCACAGGTGGTTTGTCAACGGGTGTTTTATCACAAGCGCTGTGTGCGGCTTTGATCACAGGTGTTTTGGCCATATAGGGTCTTTGATCACAGGTGTTTTAGCCATATAGGGTCTTTGATCACAGGTGTTTTGTCCATATAGGGTCTTTGATCACAGTTGTTTTGTCCATATAGGGTCTTTGATCACATGTGGTTTGTCCAATGCTGGCGTTTGATAACAATCGCTTTGTCCTTATATGGTAAGGATTAATTTTAAAAGTTGTGTAATTATATTTTAAATTGCGGCAGGATGTAATAGTATGTTAATTCATCTGTCATTTAGTTAACCATACAAGTATTACTTCTTTGACTATTCTGTTGGCATGTTTTTTATCCTTTTTTATCCTTTATATATGCTATTTATTTTCAAGTAAATCTACATTATTTATTTGTTAAACGTATTGTATGTCGCATTTGTGTTCCGTTTATATTTAAAATAAATATATGAGGTCTAGCACCAGCCTTTATGTGGAGACTAACATATCGTTCTTGACTATTTTAATACATGTTAATTTCTATTAATGGACATTCAGGAAACATGTAAAAATGGTATTAATTGTATCATAAATTAAAATTAAAATAGCAGTTTATTATTTCAATTTTAAAATCTATAAATTATGCCCCCCCCCCCTCCCTCTGTGGTCAAAGCCCCGCTGTGGTCAAACCCCCTCTAAGGTCAAACCCCTATGGTCAAAGCACCTAGGACCGTCAATATGTAGTTTGGCCCGTTGACTCCAAAGCCTTATGTTCTTTCTGAATTCATTTCCATATCCTTAGCTTAAAAAAGGACTAACTCCAACCAATAATTTGTTTGATTTGGGAGGGTTTTTTTCTCTACTACATAGGTAGCTGTCAACAGCTAACGTGCTTTATCTACCCGAGTGTACTAACTCGGGACATTAGGGTTAGCAATTGTAAGCTATTTCGTCCAATCATGACCCCCCCCCCTCTTCTTATTTTCTGAGCAACTTTATAACTCAAGTCCCTCGTGCCTTTTGTTACTGTTATTAAATACATTTAAAGTTAATGAAGTTATTAAACAGTTGGACTAGGTTATTAAACAAGCTATTTAAACGTTTTAGTGAGGTATAGTTGCTCTAAAACAACTGCTGTCATCACGGTTGTAAACACGCATTCGAACATCATCATCTTTTCCCGTTCGTGCCCAAGACACATGGGCCAGATGAAGTAGAGTGCAACTGTTTCAAATGGATAGGGTGGTCAGCACTATGCCTAGCTGCCTATGTTTTCCCTGATTTAGGTACCCATCAGAGCTGGGAAGGGGGGGGGGAGGAAATCTGGGACATTATACTGACTTGAACCCGGATTCGAATTCGGGTTAGCAGTCTCTCTACCGCTAGGCCACGCCGTTCTATATGCATTTCATGCGAAACATGAAAATGTTGGGTACTTATAAAAAATCAGAACTATACATCCAAACAATAGAAATTATCAATATGAGCAAATACATAAAATGAGAAATCCAATACATAAATCCAAACAAAAGTCCCGAATTAACAAGAAAATGATGGGTAAATTTGGGAAACAAAATTAATAAATGAAAACAAAAACTATAATGAACAGGACAACGTCATTAACTGGAATTATTATAACCAGTGGTTTTAAAATTTTTAGGTACGCCTAATGAATAGTGCTAGGAGAATTGCCAAATGTGTAACAACTTAAAAATATAAGTAATTATATAATTAAGCTTTTAATAATTAGTATAATAATGTATTACTTATTGGCTGTTAAGTTGAGGCAGATTACAAAGTATTGTTCATAAATTTTAAATAGCGCCAGTGAATTCCCATTTTAATTAGATTAATATGTTAGGAGATACAACCTAAAGCATATCTTTTAAATTGTTTCATATCTCACAGTAAAATAGTTATAGGATTTAGTAATATTTTAGTCGATTTTTCTGTGAGATATTTTATCTGGGATATTTTGTCTGAGATCATTTGTCCTGACATCATTTGTCATTGAACCCAACAAAGATATGTAAATATATTACATTATTGATTATTAAGTTAAGGAACGTTGTAATATCGAATACTGGAGCTGAGATGCAATGAATTTTAAATTGTGTGAGTAGCTTCCCATTTCGTTATGTAAAGATTTCAAGGGATATAACTTAAAACATTGAACCCAAAAGCAGTAATAAGTACATCGAAAATGTATTTAACAGAATATGACTAAAATCATAATCTATTTTAAACATGAATATTTAATGTTTTGTGATAATTTTGACAAATTTTATTTTTCTTTACGATTTATGCAAATATTTTGACAGTTTTGTAAAAACCTACCTATAAGATTTAACAAATACTTCTTTATAGACTTGTGTTTGTTCACAATAGACTTTATTGTTATCTTATTTTGCAAATTTTGTTGTGTGTAATTTATTATACGAAATGTCCAACCTCAAACTTCCCCAAATCCAAAATGCTCTCTAACTATGACCCGCACCCCGGATTAACATTTGTCTCCCCTTTTATTATTATTTTCTTTAACACATTTCCTACTTGATTTCCCAACTGATTTTCAGGCTGTATGTATTATAAAATAATTTACTTTAATAGGTTCCTCCTTTATATGTAAAACCCGATTTTGAATATATTTAACAGGTTAATGGCAGACTATGGCCTACACACAAATATGTTGATCCAATTTGTGTTATTGAATATAAAAGTATTTAATAATAAATAAATAAAAATGTGATCTAAGTGGTTAAAAAAAGCAGAAAAAAACGGCTTTTGCCTATCTAATATTCATCATCACTATTTCTTTCTTAACTGTATTAATTGTGATCATTTCCTCTAACATAAGTAAGTATAACGTCAACATGGTGCGCGGACCTTTGACCACAGGTGCTTTTTCCATAGGGGTTTTGACCATTGGGGGTTTTTGACCATAGGTGGTTTGACCATAGGAGCTTTGACCATAGGGGCTTTGACCACAGGTGTTTTCTCAGCAGAGGGTCTTTAATCACAGGTGGTGTGTCAACGGGTGTTTCATCTCAAGCGCTGTACGGCTTTGATCACAGGTGTTTTAGCCATATAGGGTCTTTGATCACAGGTGTTTTGTCCATATAGGGTCTTTGATCACAGGTGTTTTGGCCACATAGGGTCTTTGATCACAGGTGTTTTGTCCACATAGGGTCTTTGATCACAGGTGTTTTGTCCATATAGGGTCTTTGATCACAGGTGGTTTGTCCAATGCTGGCGTTTGATAATAAGCGCTTTGTCCTTATATGGTAAGGATTAATTTTAAAAGTTGTGTAATTATATTTTAAATTGCGGCAGGATGTAATAGTATGGTAATTCATCTGTCATTTAGTTAACCATACAAGTATTACTTCTTTGACTATTCTGTTGGCATGTTATTTAGCCTTTTTTATCCTTTATATATGCTTTGTATTTTCAAGTAAATCTACATTATTTATTTGTTAAACGTGTTTCAAGTCGCATTTGTGTTACGTTTATTTTTAAAATAAATCTGTGAGGTCTAGCACCAGCCTTTATGTGGAGACTAACATATCGTTCTTGGATATTTTAATACATGATAATTTCTATTAATGGACATTCAGGAAACATGTAAAAATGGTATTAATTGTACCATAAATTAAAATTAAAATAGCAGTTTATTATTTCAATTTTAAAATCTATAAATTATGCCCCCCCCTCCCTCTGTGGTCAAAGCCCCGCTGTGGTCAAACCCCCTCTAAGGTCAAACCCCTATGGTCAAAGCACCTAGGACCGTCAATATGTAGTTTGGCCCGTTGACTCCAAAGCCTTATGTTTTTTTCTGAATTCATTTCCATGTCCTTAGCTCAACTAAAGACTAACTCCAACCCATAATTTGTTTGATTTGGGAGGTTTTTTTTTTCTCCACTACATTGGTTGCTGTCAACAGCTAACGT